AATACCTGTGTCGTAGAAGTCTGCCGCCTGGGATTGGAACCACTGTGTGACAGCCATCTCCGCCTCTCTGTCATTCTCAAACCGCTGACGCTGACCGGACAGGAATTTCTTGAGGTGTAGGAAAAGATGGAAATCACTGGGAGCGAGGTCCGGGCTGTAGGGTGAATGATTAAACACCTCCCAGCTGAACTCCTGCAGGAGACTTGCTGTCCGTCGAGCCGTGTGCGGCCTAGCGTTATCACTGACCGCACTTCACAGTCGGCGGGAGCTGGAATAAGAACCTCCATCTTCAACAGCTGCAACGATGCTACTGTGAGAACGCGGGAAGTGCCGTTAGTGCAAGCGCCATGCTACGTCATTGCTCTATCACGTACGCACAGTCGCTTCGCGCAATATAAGGTTTGCTAGCTGTGGGACGAGTGGGAAACGTACTTTGTGGACGCGCCTCGTATAAAAAGAAGTGATGTGTCACTTACCAATACTTGTACCATAGTTGAAACTCTTCACAGTGCCTTGCAATTCTCTGTAGTACATCAGAGCACCTGCTGGAGCTGTGGAAGAAAAGTGCAGCTGTAGTAAGGAACAGAACACAATTTCTTCAACATTTGACAATTTTTTCCCAACACTAATTACAGCATGCTCTATCTGTAAAGGTAAATAAACTGAAAGAAAGAATCATTATTACCACATTTAAAACTGGATAGCCTGGCACTTGCCTGTATGTATCAGTCAGCCCTACAGCACCAGCACACACTACAATGTGTATTACTTAAATAAGCAAATTAATTCAAACAGCAGAGTTAGCCTGGGTTAATCACCATTCTTTGGATAAAACTCTGCCACATAATGTCTGACAGTGTCTACTAGCATTGTTCTTTGTCAGAGTACCAACCTCGCTCAGAACTTGAACATTCTATTTGGGTAAGCCCGATATTCCACTTGTGACTGGTAGTTGCTGCTGAGGTGGATCTAATACTGATTTGAATTGGGGCATTATCTTCTTGGAAGTCCACATATACTGCAACACAAGAATCTTCAATTTTTATCATGTTTCCCTTATTATTTCTCCAATGTTACTATGTAATCTAACAAACTATCATTTATATCACTTTCTAATTTTGTTTAACTTCTAAACACCTTGAATTTCATTCATAAAGATGCAAGCCTATATAATGCCCTCATGTTCCAAGATATTTATTTGTGTTGGTAGACAGCAGGATTAAACCCATAACCAAACATTTTATGAACAAAATGAAGACTACACATTGCACTGTAATTGATTTTTCAGTAAATGATATAGAAAACTTCTAGAAAAACTACAATGACTATATTACAGAATAAATTATGAATAAGAAATTACAACAGAAGAGAAATATTATATAAAATGTTGAAGTGAAGTACATACCAGTTATAAAAGTAATGTACTTGAAGCATAGTGTGTGTATTTGTATTTCGACATGCACACACACACCTAAGAGTACTAAATAAAGTTGCTCAGGACCAGTTCCTTTGTTGGGTGAATACGTGCCATATCATATCAAGTTGCTTTCCAAATCACAGGTGGGTGTACTGGGCTCAAGGAAACTGATGTGGACAGTACTTTTACAATATACCTGAACTAATCTTACAGAAGATAGCTGAAATGAGGAATTTAAACAATGACAAAGCCACAAGTCTAGTGCTGATTTTTAATATCTCTTGGCTTTAGACTTTTACTGAAGTCATTATGAAATAGGCACTACCCGAGTACAAGACGTTCAGTTTCTGAATGTAGTATCTAATCCTCTTAAGAATCAATATATAGTCTGCACCCTTTATGATTACCCTAAAGTAGAAATTTAAAAACTGTGGGGTGTATTAACACATTTCTAATAATAACAAGTTTTCATTTTTCTGTTATTCATTTGTGTTTAATTATATAAGACTTTTATTCACAGTATATTTTTCCATCTACCAAACTCTCTGCAGTGAAGTTTTTCTGACATTTTACAGTTTCATTAAACACAACATTTGAGTGAAGTTTACATGTTTCTATGATTTGACACTGTGTAAATTATTCTGTTGGACTTCATCCACTGTCCAAGTTTTTTTAATTAAAAGCACAACATTTCAGAAGCTGGTTCTACTTCAGTCTTTAGGTTACTGGCTAGAGGAAAAAAACCTTACTTTTTCTTGGCCCCCAGGTTAAGGTATTCTCAACTTTGGACACTTACATGATGCATAAGTCCACATAAGATTTTTAGATTTCTAGCAGTGAAAATGTGTATTGTAGAATTCTGAGTTATTACGCCAAGTCATCTTGTAGGCGGTTATCAGTGGCTTGTAGGACATATAACCATCTCGAGGGTACAAATTAGACAAGCTGGGAATGTGGGTCGTTATGTACAATAAGGGTGTCCAATGGGAACAGGATATGAAGGGAAAAGGGTGAACTCAGAATAGTCAAGATACTGAGAATTATCATTCTCAACAAAGAGAAACACATCTTTCATTCTGTTTGGTACATAATCTTACCATGTTGGTTACTGTTGTCACCGCAGATGACAGGCACCGAAGAAGCACCACCTGTTATATCAAGGTGCTCTACATTACACGCTCCTTCAGCATTTGGTTGAGTAAGGGTTAACTCAAACAAATCAACACGTAACTGTTAAGAGAGAAAACAGTTTTAAACACTACATTCTGCAATTATCAAGAGCATATATAAAGACCCCAGTCTGGAGCACATATAGTTTTTAAATACATTCTTTACATTATATATTCATTATTGGGCTTGATTTTCATTTCATACATCCAGATACCATGAACTGTAATAAATTCAGAAGCAAATCAGTAATTCATTCAGTCATCAGATTAGCACTATTAAGCACAGAGTGTTTTCCAAAAGGATGCTTCACATTTAATTGTATTGATTACTTAAATAATTATTCTTGGAGTAATTAAACCACCATAAACTGAACATAGCAATCTTGGGAAACAGTGTAGCCTGTAATGACAATTTTAATTCTTAACAATGTGGTGTAAAATAAGTATGACATTTCAACATACAGGATTGTTCAAAAAGTAAGAAATTTATTTTCATACAAAGTTCGAATGCATTTTTGAGACAAAAGTCTCATTTACAGACAAGGTTAATTTTAATTAAAATGATTATGTTAACAAACAGACTGTGCATGTATGGGCCACATGAGATGTTAGTGTATCATCATTTAAATGATGACAAGTGCAAACGAAGAAACATGTTTACAGTAACTTTTAGTATGTGAATAAAATCTGTAATTTGTCTGATCCATTTCAGAAAAACTAGATTAAACTGCATAACATTTCTGTTTTTGAGAAATATTTTCCTTTTTTACCTGGCAAATGTTAGAGTTACACTTGGAGACAGTAATGCTGCAACGTGCACTGCTTGTGTATGCTCTGGGATATTCAGGATTGGTGAAGTATGTGAAGTTAAGGCTGGTGGTTGCGGCACATGACTTCTGAACTGAAAAGATATTGAGAAACTACAACATCTCATATGTAGCAATACAGTAGTTCAACACAAGGGATACTTACTAGGATAGTCTTGCAATACTTACTCCTCCACAACCATCATGACTTAAAAGAGCCCAGCCCATAATTCAACTTACTTTTCATAGTAACGATGCTAATTAGATTTGAGATAAAACAACATATAGTTTCAGTATCAATTACACTGATCCTCCATATTGTTTTACACTGTTCCTATCACAAAAAAGAATTCATATCATTTCATTAACTATTCATTAATAGAAAGATTTCAGTCTATTTTGCTGGCTCCAAGCATGTTGCTGCCTTCTGGAAATCTTCCAGTGTGACTGCGGTGTTGAATAATGTGTAGATTAAGTGTGAGATCTGAGGATCTCACAGTGGTGAAGATGCCAGTGTTGATTTTCTGGGTTTCAACACTGTGTGGACTTGTAGGTGGATACCAACATTTCAGAAGAGCACACTGCCTCCATCTTTGGGGTTGAAGATGGAAGATAGTGCTTTCCTCCAAAATACTGCTGTCTACCTAGAACACCATACAACATTTGAACACAGATGATCAATATCTACATATTAAGTGGCTCACTGAACAGTTTTCTTTTGGTGTCATGCTGTTAACATGTTAACAATTGTAGCACAGGAGATGGACATGACTGCATCACAATTATTAAAACAAAGCATTATTATTATTAGTGTTCTGTGTGACGACAGGTCCATATGAACAGGATCCTTCCATCCTTTTCTCGTACTGGGACCTGTTCATATACGTTCTTGGCAGATGATCCAGAAGTGGTTTGCCATTGCCTTCTTCTGTGTGTGAATGGAGTAATTGTTGGGATGCCACGGAGGAAAACTCCGTGTTGCCTAGACCACGGCCTTGCCCAACACAAGTTATAAATTCGAACCCGAGACCCCACGATTACAAGGCCAGTGTTGGGATGCCACGGAGGAAAACTCCGTGTTGCCTAGACCACGGCCTTGCCCAACACAAGTTATAAATTCGAACCCGAGACCCCAGGATTACAAGGCCAGCGTTCTAACCGCTAGACCACCGTGGCACAAAAAAACAAAAAGCATACATCAGCATAATTACTGGCCACAGTTATTACCCTAGTTCCAGGCATAGCTTGGAGCCTTCATCATGTCATCGAGACCTCAGTCTGACATGTATCAATACTTCCTGACACAGCAGACAAGGCTATTAATAAGCCACTGTCAGTCAATTAAAAGCACACCTGTACAAAAAAGTATCAGCTGATAATTCTAGTTATATCAGGTGTCAAAAATCTATAGAAATATTATGCTCCTGTCTCTTGCAGAACTTAGGTACCATCACTTTAGAGATTACTTGTTGAAATCTAACAACTATCACAAAGTCCCAGAAATTAAAGTACTGCAGTTTATTCAAGCTGCAGGTTTACTAATAGGACAATTGTTAGGGATGCCCAATAGATAAAGACTGGTCACTGTGCTACAGCATTTTTATGCCCACCCTCCTGATTCCATTCCACTGTACACAACTGAAACAGCAAGTGGCCAAGTTAGCAAACACAGCTGTGAGATTATATGCAACCCTTAGTGTGCCATGTCAATGGTTGACCATTCCTTCCCCATGTCAACAAGACCACCAGACCCAGATCAATACACTTACTGATACAGCAGACACCCCAATTCCTGGCACAGGACCCAGATGCTGTGCCTTGCAAGCTGGTGCACTCCTGTCTTGAATAGCATGTTCCTAAATGATGATTGGTTCCAGTGCATTGGACATTTCTAAAGCGGATGACATTGAAGAATGAGAAGACTAGAAACAAACACAAAATATCAACTTTTGTTTTCTGTATTGTGATACTCTGTGGTCTTGTAGATGGTTATCAATATTCTGGAGAAATGTTTTAGTATGAAGATGGCTATCTTCTGGGTTGTTGCACCTTGTATTCTGGTAGAAGTTTACTGACATTTCACAAGTCCTTGCTGCTCCATATGGTGCAACAACCCAGAAGATAGCCATCTTCATACTAAAACAGCCTCAAATCCTGCAATACATTCTTCTGAAACACTAGTAACTACCTACAAGACTGCATGGCATCACAGTCCAGAAAACCACAATTGGCATCTTAGCTTCATCAAAACCTTAAAATTAAATTACAAAGGGTCACCGTGCTCATTGTTGTCTCAATAAAACTTGGGTGATGTCTCTTCCTAGGCAGTACTTCATAACCTACAACTAGCCAGGCCATAGTTATATAAAGCAAGTGACCAGGATGAGGCATCAATTGTAAATGAGGACATGCATCGTGAACAATATATTTCTTGGACACTGTCTTGTGTCTGCATGAGAAGATGTATTACTTTTCAGAGGTTGCTTCTGTCTTCATATTCAGATAAAAGGAAGAGGTACCTACAATGTGAAGATTGTTAGCTACTTTATATCACTGCATAAACATATAAGAGGCCTCAAAGAACACATACTCATTCCTTTAACTTGACAACAGACAGAATCAATCTCCAGAATTCCATAAACTTTATTTTATACACTGAGATAACAAAACATCGGCAATCTGAAAATTCGTAATATTTCATGTAACAGAGAGACAGACACTCTAAAGACAGAGAGATGCTCCCATTTTGGTAAAATGCACCAAAAAATTGGACTGTCTTCACATAACTTACATCTCTCACTGCGGTCCAAGTAAGTCTCATTTTCCCACCTGACATCTGCCAAGCTGGTCTTGTTACTGTAGTCTTCAGGTTCCTGCCCCACAACTGCGTAACACAGGAAAAGAAACCACAAGAAACACATCACACAAGCTATCGTAACAGACAAAGTAGCAGTGAAGCATCACATTTACTTCTTCATATAGTCTCGGGCTGTTTGTGTATCCCAATAAACATTCTAGCTGAACTTTCTTTCAACTCTGATTAGACCCAAACTGTACTTTATCCTCCACTCAGTATTCCTCTCGTACTCATTTCCATTTCCAAACAAATTTAAGTAACAACAAATTTACAATTGGCAGTAGATAAACAGGTGACCAAACAGACTGTATTTGTCATTTTATGTTGTATATACATGAGTCTATGCATGCCATAACATATAAGAAATTTAAGCAAATACCTTTACAAAGAAACAAAGTGGGTTGACATAGCAGTAACACATCTAACTGATACTAGTGGTATTAGGATGAGGAGGAGAGGATGTTACAGTGTCTTGTTCAAGTAACAGTTGGAATTCATTAACACTAACTTAGGCTTCTTATAACTTACTAAGAAAATATTGGAACCATATAACAAGACACAGTTATGTAGGAATAAGAATGTTTGCAGAAGTAATAATATACAGATGAATGGTCATAGTTCCAGGATAGGACAGTAACATTTCCAGGTATAAATTTAGGAACTGGAGAAATGTCTATCCTAGCCGAGGTTTTTCACAAATTTCCTCAGTTTCTCCAGGCAACAACTGAAATAATATTTTAAAATACGCAATGAACATCTGAGATTTGAGATTCTCATGGCAGTGAACAGTTTATTCCATATACCTCCTTACCAGTCAGTCTATTATCTTTATGAACTGCAGTACTGACACAATTTTATTTTATGTGTACTCAAGACATAAAACTTTTGACCCTGAACAGATGAAGATTGAATAGAGGTAAATGGATAGTTTTACACTGTATAAATAAAAATAAAAATTGGTAATGAAAGTTACATACAGTACACATAAGGAAAGCAACTATTAAAAGAAAATTATCCAAAAAGCATCTGATCAGACTTGACACACAACACTCAGGTTTGCTTTTTCAACACACATAATAATCAGAGTCAAACAACAGTACAATGAGAAATTATTTTCTACGGTCATACTGCCTCCGTCATCAGGGCGATGAGTATGAAGATTTCTGTCTTCTGGGATGTTGCACCGTGTAGTCTGGTCGATGTTAACCAACGTTTCGGAGGTCATACTGCCTCCGTCATCAGGGCGATGATCGCATCTAACCATTTACCAGACTACACGGCACAACAACCAAGAAGACAGAAATCTTCATACTCATCACTGTGAAAACCTCAAATCTTACAAGATATATGTAAGTTGAATATTTTTCATTAAATGAATATATTTTGGTGTCTTATTTA